CACTTACTTTCTATAATTCACAGGCTGTAAACTGTGCTCTGCTTACAATAAATTGTACAAGAAAACCACCAGTGACGCACATATTTCTGCTGAAAATTACTACACAGATGCTGGGTAAGCCTGTGGCTGTTTTACAAGATACCAACCTTGCTGACTCTGAGCTTTCCCACCAGGACTACCTGGAAGAGATAGATACAACTTTGGCTCTACTCTTAAAGACAATAAGAAAGGGATTTGTTCAATAGGTGAAACCCAATCTCCTTGAGAATCCATCTGTCAAAATAGTATAGATTTTTATTGGTGTTAGTGCTAAGCTGACATGGTGCAGATATGACTGATCTGTTCATCTACTGCTCATACAAGACAATGTGCTGGGATCAAAGTTTGAGATAAGTTCTTGGTGCTTCATGTTCCCTTTAGGCCAGGTAATGCTGGGAGCATGCCAAGGACATAGTTGGAGGGCCTGGCCTTGAAACATCTTTTTTTTTCTTACCCACTAGGCACAGCTTTTTTTACTAGACATGTCTTTCAATTCAGTGGAGCTTTGGTAGTGATGTTCTACAGCCTGTCCCTGCCATATTTCTTTGTGACTCCATTGACCTCAAAGGCAAAGGATTAGAATAAGAAAAGAAAGAATTGTGAAAAATATTTTTTCAGGTAGAAAAGGAAGCCTGAGAGTCTCAGGAAAGTTGAATTCACAATTTCCAAGACTCAACATGATGAGGATATTCCTGCTTCTCTGTGCCCTGTTTCTTAAACAGGTTTGGAGTCCACTCTGTTGTTTCCTGATGCTATTTCAGTAGGCATTAAGAAAAAAAGCCCTGTTTCTAACATTAATTATTTGGAGAAGACAAAGTGTTTGTAGCAAACTTCAGTTATTACGTGGGTCACTCCAAAATCAATGCCTCTTACTTATTTCCATAGAAATTACAAGCACAATGACACTATTTGATAAATTATCAGGTACAAAACACTATTTTTTGGCATTCTCACCACCACTAGCTATGCATTTTTTCCATCAATGAACAAAAGCCTGCATGCCACACTTGTGAAGAGCCGTACCAGTGGAAGTGCTCCTCTGTCGCTGTCACCACTGCTGAAAGGTACCTCCGCATCACTGTGCTCACATGCACTGGTTGGTCTCCAGAAACATTCAGCAAGCATAAATGAATGTCAGTGGCTACCTTTTTTTTTTTTGCATGGAGGAACACAATGACACACCTTTGCTTCAAATGCACTTCCATGTCAGATGCTGTTCTGTCAGACTACCCCTCTGCTGCCATCTGTCTCACAGCAGCAACATGTAATGGAAAATTGGTGGGAAGGTTCAGCCTCTACTGCCATACTGCCAACATCCGCCTCTGATGTCGTGGGCTGACATAATAAAATAGGAGGCGTCACTTTCTGAACAGCCCTGTGGTTTGTTGAATAGCCACTTTATACAGGTTTCATAACAATTATCATATTTAGTACAGGAAGTGAGGTGTTCTTGATATAGTGTCAATCCTCTGCCACATTGAGAGCATAAGCCTAAAATATTTTTATCCTGTCTCGTCTCTCAAAGATTTTGAGTTTATATTACTTCATTTTTTCCTCATGACAAAAAGCACCGAGGAGCCTATTCACTAGGAAATTACAGACCTCATTTCATGAACAAAATCCTCTAGGCGTTACGGACCAATTTTCAGTACTGGGTGCTGACAGTGATGAGACTGCACTGAGTGCTGGATAGATACAAAGATGGAACTCCGACTCCATTCCCCAGAAGCTCAAGGAAAAGTCAGAGCTTGAAGGTTCAGTGTTTAATTTAAATACTTATACAGTCAACGCAGGCAGCAATATTTGGCTTTTTTCATGGGTTATTACTGTGGGTGGGAAGGCTCAACTCTGCTTTTTCACAATTGTTTCTTTACTTTCTGTTGCATCTTTGCTGTGGTGGTTCATGGAGGGAGCTGCACTGACAAGTAACAGTGGCTGCAACCGTGACTGGCTCTTGCACAGATTAGACCAGGAGAGGGAAGTATCTAGCTGTGTTATGACCCATCATTAGTACATACACTTAAGGAAATTGTGTTCTGCTCCTGAACATTCCTTGAGGAAATAAAAGACTAAAATTGTTAAGTAAATTATTCACTGCAAATTATTCTCTCAGTTCCATTTGCTATTCTGGGATTTCTGCTATATCTAGGCAACCTAGGCCAGACAAAGTATAAGCATGGACATAAAAGCAAAGGGTACATTATAGAAGCCCTATGTTAATTGAAATAAATAGCCTAACACACTTTGGAATTGCTTAGCATAAGGGAAAGCAATGTAAGCTATCTAAGTCTCCATTTAAACTTTGGCCAGATTTCTGTGATGGACTGATACAAAATTTTCATCTTGTTTGCTTTTTGGCTACTGTGCTAAACTCTTTATTCTAATTTTTGCTCTACTTTTTGGTAATACAAAAATAATCAAATACTGAAAGCATGAGCTTACAGTGTAGACTGTAGGTAGTTTCTTCTTTCAAGGTAAGATAACTGGATGGAGCCAGTGAGGACTTTGACACTATTGTGGCATTTGATACTGTGTGGGTGGAAGACACATAAAGCACTCGAGTATCCAGGACTATTTATCATGGACCACTCATTAAAACTGAATAATGATAATAATAATAAGCTATAACGTATATTGCCTTTTATAAAAGGAATCATTCTCAAGGGGTCATCTTAATTACTAAGTGGAACACTTTTCTTCCCATTGGACTTTGCAGAGTGGAGAGCAGCATTACCTGGGTATTTCAGGATGGAGGACTCAAATCTGAGCCCAATAAAATTAATCTTCAAAACTTCTATTGATTTTGCTGCAGTTTGGATGAGGTCCAAAGACAGCAAGGAAATGGAATAAGTTATGTGCAATCATGTCCAATAGAAAATTAGGTATGAGAAGTTTAATTGCTATTTTACGTAGGTATTCATTCCTCTTCGAAAATACATCTTGAAATACAGAGAATACAAGCACCAAGCTTTTTATTATTTTTTAATAGAGAAGAGCCCTCTTTGAAATGTATTGGTTAACTTCCTGTTATACGTTTGTTTTTTTTTCACTTAGTTACTTTTTAAAACTAGTGTGGGTCAACCTTCCAAGGGCAAGAACATAATCAGGTCAGCTTTCAAGCTGCTATAATTTTTCTGATATGTGGATGAGGAAAGGAAATAGATATGGATGGGCACTATATCTCTTGAAATGGCCTCTTTCTTCCTGTTTAACAATAAATATTCTACAGAAAGGAAGCTCATATATTACTCTTCAGATGAGTTCCCATTTTATTAATCATGAAGATTTTAATAGTGGCCTGAGACAGGAAATCACATTCTAATGATCTGCACAGTCTTATTTAATCCTCAGGTTTGGATCAGATAAAAAAGAAAAGCAATATACTGCAATGTACAGCTATGTAGATAAATAATAGGGATTAATTACTGTAAAACATACGTACAGCATTTTTAATAACATATGGCTTTACTGAATTACTAAGGCTGATTAAATATCAATGGTAAAACCTCCTTAGGGTTAGAAACTTAAATAGACTTTGCAAGTGCTGTTATCAGATATATGAAAGAAAAATATACCTTAGAGTTAATAAACCTCATCGTTTTTATTAACAATTAATTATTATTAACAATAATGATGAATTATATATCCCTGGGAGTTTATAATAATTATTATTAATAATCAATATTTAATTAATAATAATGCTGATGAACTCTGAGGGATATCATACTGATAATAAAATTCAGCTCTATACAGAAGGAATGTAGTTCTAATGAAAATGTGAAGTAAAACATTTTGGGTGCTGGGCTAAGGTTCAATACATACACAGAAAAAACAGACAGGGCTTTACCAGGGTGTGTGCACTGAGTGTTTGGATCCACAAGGATTCATGAATTGCTATCTGTTGGAAGACGTTTTCACAGGCTTGCTAAAAGAAGTTTTAACTGCAAAATGTATGAGGAAATTGCTTCAAATAGATCGTCTTGAAAACTATTTTTTTTCCTGAAAAAATGTCAGAAATTTTTGAAAAATATATATTTTTTTTACCTACTTCTTCACTTTTTCAGCTCTGCAACTTACTTAGAAATAGTTTTCTTTGTTCATCTGCAGCATTGAAACTCTGTGGGTGGCTCAAATGTTTTGAGATTTGCCTGAATCTTCAATAAAAAGGCAATGTTTTTTTTTTGTAGTTTCAGATTTTATACTCCATGATTCACAACAAACTAGTTTTCAGTAGGATACTCAATACTTGTTTGTTTGAATTTGGCAAATAATATCAAACAAGATGAAGCAGACAATCAGAGCTCACTTAGTATCTACTTTCATTGTAGCCTCTCTGCTGTAAACCTCCTGCTGGAGATGTTCTTTCTCCCTTCTACTTTTCACCTAATCAGTGACAGCAGAGAACTGAAAAAGCTATTTCAGGATGTCCAAATTCTCTGGTAAAAAAAAAAAAAAGGCAAAAAACTATTTGACCATGGAAAAGAAGACAGCCTTAGAAATTTTCTCTCCCACTTAGTGGTCTTTAACCTCACTACATTTATTGAATGGCTGTAGAGCAGTGAGTGGGAGGAATTAGGAACCAGCTGGACCATGTGTCACAGCATAGCACACACCTGCTGGGGAATAAAATCCTTGGATGCTTATGAGTGCAGCACTCCTTCCCATTCGAGTCTCAGCACAAGTTGAAATGAAGGGTGCTGTTAGTGCCATGAGGTTGAGTGGGATAAATGAGAGGGGAAAAGAGACTGATTTCTTGAGGTTGTGCAAAGTCTTCCTGAGGTCTGATGGTGACATAAAGGAGAATACATATTAAAGAGTTTCTCACTCTGCACTCTGTTCTCATTCTCAACTCGTCCTTAGTGCACCTCTCTCTCTGCAGTCACTTCCTCTCCTTCCTCACTCCCTCCCAAACTGCTATTTCAACTTGCTTGCCTTTTCTACAAAGCAGCTGCACGGTCACATCCTGACTGAACAAGGAACTGCAGTGAGCGGTGTACCCTTGTGCGGTACGCGTTGTTATCGTTGTTAAGTTGCAAGCTTGTAGACTTTGCACATCAGTCAGACAATCTTAAATTTAAAATGTTGAAGAGAAAACCATCTAATGTGTCTGATAAGGAGAAAAGTCAAAAACCTAAGGTAAGAATGTTTAATTTTTATTGCCAGTAAATTATAACAGGAATTCCTTAAAGGAGGGCTTATGTACTTGAAAGGCCCAGGACTGGTTGTAATGCAGTGGAGCAATTCCTAAGGTTTTGCAGCTTCTACAGAAAATGTGAAGCTGAAAAATAAGACCTTGAATGCTTCAGGATTTCCTCAGCACTCTTTCAGTAATGCAACTTCAACAATCTATTTTTATATACTCACTTTATAAATGTAACGGTCCAATCCAAGAAATCATTACAAAGCTGATATAGTGTTGTTGAAGAGCCTTGCTACGGGAGTTTGTTGTTGCATGTTCTTCATCAGTCTTTTATCAGAGACACTCACAAAAATTTCCTCTACCCCCTGAATTTATGACAAACTGACGCTATCCTAAGAAATAAGTGAGAAATAGTTTACTGATCCTTCTTGTCTTTGTTTGGGAGCACACTTTGCAGTGTGACATCTGTATCCTAAGAGACTATTGCAGGCAGTTCTTCAGAAGGAATGTCATTTGGTTTTACATGACATTGGCTTTTATGTGTCCCACTTGCAGTTTTAGACTATGATTTGTTAACAATTAATGTTTTTAGTGTTTTTTTTTCATGGATATGAAACATACTTTAATTACTTTCTCCATAGATTTACATGCTTTTTAAGCATTAGGCTTGTTTGTGGTATGTATTTTCTTTTGTTCATATCTTAAAGGCAGGGAAGAAGTATAGTTAATATCTAGCTACGCTGTAGGTCAGGTGAAAAGATCACAATAGAGCCTGTAAATGAGCATTGTTTTCCTGCCCACTGAATACTTGCAAAATTAAGTTTTGGTTACTTTTTTCTTCCAGAATAACATCTTCCTTAACAAATGGTATGATCTGAGGGACATGGTAGAGTAGGCATGGTGGTGATGAATTGATGGCTGGACTTAATGATGTTAGAGGTCTTTTCCAACCTTAATGATTCTATGATTTATTTTTTTTTCCTTTCACACAGCTGGTTATTCATTCATGAATTCACTCCATGCTACTCAAATGCTAGTGTTATGGCTTCTCAAATCTGTGAATCTATGTGAATATAAAGTCTCTGAATATGGTGTATATATACATATATTGATTCACTGTGTGTATAAAGCAGGGATAAAAAGAGTCTAAACACTTGACTGATTGTCAGACTTGCATGATCTTGCTGCACTGACTTCTGGTAAATTTTTATGCAAAAAATGCAAGGTTTTGGTGAAGCAGATCAGGATTTCTTTCTGCCTTAGTAACGTACTTTGAAACACTTCACCTACTGTAGTCCCATTTTTGCACAGAATTCTGTAAACTTTCCACAATTGCAGTCTTTTGCTGAATGTGCTATTGACAGAAATGTCATGGGAGGAAACAGTTTCCCCCTCCCATAGAAGAGAAATTTTAGTTTTTTGTTGCATGTTTGGAAATATGCACTGTGTAAGCAATGCAAATACCTAACTTGCTCAATACAGAATTGAGTAACATGGGGTGCAAGTCTTCACCTCCAAACAGAAATTACAAAATTTCACAACTGGGGCCCCTGGATGGTTTCCTGGCTACCACTGTTCTGCGTAGGCACTATTTGACGTCTTCCTGTACGCACAGGGAGGGATGTCATCATCAGTGTGGAGGTCTTGGGCTGTCTCACCTCTTCTTCAGGTGGCTGTCCTGGATATAATAAAGGAGAAAGTCATCAGTCTAGATTATCCAGTGAAAATCTGTATTGCTTCCAGTGACCTGCGAACAGAACAACCAAAATACCTTTTTAGGCAGCTGAGTTTTGCTGATAGTGACCACTGGTCTGTATCACGTTTGTGGCAAGTTCTGTGCATTATTCAAGTGTTACACCTAGATTTTATTTTTAATCCTCCTGTTTTTATTGTTTTCTAATGTGAAATTCCTTAATGCCCATGAAGAGTATCTGGCATACATTATGCCTTTTGATAAAGATGAAATACCATGTAAAGCTGATGCTGAAACCTTACCCCAGTCAATTCGCTGTCCCATGGTACAAAGCCACTGCTAGTGGTGGAAAGGTGGCCAGTGGAGCAATACAGATTCTCCTTTGATTGATACAGATATTCCTATTTATTTCCTTTGATACAGATTCTCCTATTTAACTGCCTGTTCTCTGTGTGCAATGCATTTGCTTTATTATTGTGTTGCTTAAAAGACTTCTGCAGATGTGTAAGGTGCTACATAGGCAAAAAGAAACATCTTGAAACTCTTGGTGTTTATTATTAAAACTTCAATACCTGTCCACTGCCATGAAGAACTGGTGTTGCAGTTTTTCCTTACGCAGCAAGGATTTCTGTAGCACCACAATTGTGTTCATAGTTTCTATGCACATCTTGCAGCTTTTATGTATGCATGTTTTTACATACAGCTACTATATGATTCGTATGTAGCAGAAACTAAATAATATTCATTTGTGAGCAAAAAAAATCTACACCACTTGTCATTCCAGAGAAAATGGGGAGATAAATGCTTTCAAAAGAGGCACCAAAAGGGTGATCCTTTGCTGATGTTTGTCCTTGTAGCTCCATGTACTGCTATGGGCCTGCACACATATATTTTACAGAAGCTGAGGCCCAGGTAGCTGAATTATAAAGTAGAAGTACTGAGGCTTAAAAATACTCAGTCTAAAATAGAAGAAATTCAACCTTATCAAAGGGCTAACCTCTCTATTTCAAGCCTGTCCTCTCCCTAACACACCCCTGTCTGCCCAAGTCCTGAAATGACTTTATATCATGGTGCAAGCTGAGTGCTTCCCATCAGCCCATCCACCACAGCTCTCTCTTGGTGCTTCACTTCAGCCCTCACTGTCCTTTTCCATCAGCTGAGATGTGACTCAGTTTATACCGTGCAGCTCTCTGGGCTGCACAGTTAGCAGTGGGCAGCTGAGGTCATGCGCACAAGGTGGAGCACCTAGCCTTGCAGTCGGTGCCCACAGTGCTAGGTGGAGTGCTGTGGGCAAAGCATTCCTTCTGCACTGCTGCAGCATTGGTAGGAGAGGTCTGCAGCAACATATTGCTGCCAGATGTGTTTCAGCCAGGGCTTGGTACAGCCTGCCCCAGAGTGCTCACAAAGCTGGGGGAGAGGAGAGTGGCTCACTCAGAAGATGTCAAGGACCCCTAACATCACCTGGATTGTATCTTCACTGCACTTATGGCACTACAGATCTCTGTGCATCTGGGGAATAGCACGAAGCAGGTTTAGAAGAAATTAAACATGGTCTCTTTGATGTACTTCAGGCAGCACTGTGCAAACAAAACAGTGCTAAAAGAAAAAAAAGAAAAACATTTTGCAGCAAGGGTACATTCCACTTTGCGCTGTTTAACACTTTTGACCAGGTGTAAATAAGAGTGAAAGGTGCAAATAATCTGCAAAACATCCCTGCACTGCACCGTGCACTTCACACAGTGTAATGTTCAGGGCAGCAGGTTTTCTTTTGTCTCTCTCTTTCAAATTCCTACACACTGAAAACTTGAGAACTGCCTGATGATTCTTGGCTTTACTTCAAGCTGAAGCAAATAAGATTTTTTGCTTTTTTTTTTTTTTCTGGCTTGACTGAAGAAAGTCTTGTGTCATTATTTTACGTGACAGATGATCTATGTTTATGCTAAAGGTTTGAGACGTTTTTGTTTCCTTATTCCACTTCCAAATGTGCTTGATGCTTGAAACTCAGCTTACTTCTGGTGTAAGACAATTCAGGGTCAATGCGTGTGCATTTTGTTCAGGCAAAAATATGTCCAAGATTCTAATTAAATCAATAATCTCTTACTGATGTGATAAACTATTACTCTCAGCCTCATAAGAAATTAGTGGCAAATCCAGTGGAAGGCAATTTTTACTTCCATTGTGTTTACACACATTACAATTTAAATGTGTAAACTGCACACATTTACTGTGCAACCTTATTCCCTAGTAGTATTTCATATCATTAATTTTCCTTTTTATAAGCTTCACACAAAACCTTGCTCCACAAAAATCCATGCACATTTTGGCCATAGACTTAATGAGCCCCGGATTTCACTTTTGTATATATTCGTCACAGAAAGCCTGATCCCCAAAACACGTAAATGAATAAATTAGCTGTGATCCTATTGATTTCTATGGGCTTTGTAATCTAAGTCATGTTTATCACATGTGTTTGGAGTCTGTACTGCAGACAGATGCTATAAGCAAGTTTTGTGGTGCAGCTTTCTGAGACGATGGCTTGTGCAGTACTCTGTACTGGGAAATACTTGAAGAGACAATAGGAGATAGGTACAGCAACTCTAAAAGCCAAAAATAATTCAGCATATAATTATATCTTTTGTAGGACAAGATCTGCAGTGAATAGATTGCTCTTTGCTAATGAATATTAACTAGGTTTTATCTTTGAGTGGTAAAAGCTGAGGTTTTTAATTTTATTTCAAAGGTAAGGATGGGCAGAGTTCTGAAAATATAGCAAGTTTAAAATTCTTTTCTTTCTCCCTGAAATTTGGAGTGTATCATAAATGAACTACTGCTAATGTCACAGATGCTAATTTTCACAGCCATGACTGAAGTGATGTTCGTTTCCATTTGCGTTACATTCTAACAGTGATGCGAGGCGATGAGCTGTTTGCACCATACTGCCCGCTGTGCAAATTTATGCTCATAGGCAAAGATGACACGTAGTTCTGTCATTAAAGGTCTTTACTCCATTGCCTCTTGAAGAAGGAGTGTTTGTCAAAATCCATTTTAACACTGTTAAATAAGCAGAAGCAGATAACAACATGTGGGGAGTAGTTTTAAGAATCTGGTTTGTAGTGGAAATACCTGTTGGCCTTTCTCAGAAAGTGTTCAGAGAAAGAAAAAATGATACTGTTATAACCATGTATGAGCAGATGGGGAAAAAGGGATTGCATGTCACACATCAGAAGGTGTTTCCTGTCTCCCTCAGACTTCAGAAAAACAAGAACAAGGTTAGAGTTAACCTTGGGGTATTTTTCTTGTGTG